GGCCTTTCTAAAATGCATGGGCTGTAACCAAAATAAATCAGGACTGTGCTGAGGTATACTGCAGTGAGGCCTCTGGGAATAGACTGCATAATCAGAGGATGACACAGAAGTGGGTGAATTTATGATTGGATTTTGGTTAAGTTGACATGGCACAGTCACAGAGGACACTATGTAATTGGCAGCTATTTTGGGGTGATCCTCTTCCAGATGGGTCCTTTTTCTATTTCAAATGAGGTTGTTACTGTATGTGAAGTATTATAGTATGTGTGCACTGTAGTTGTTTTTTTTTTTTGGTTAGGATAAAAACCATTAGTTTCATAAAGGCATCTTGTATTTTGTGGTTTGTAGGACAGTGAGACTGTGCGTGTACATAATCTTCTTAATGAAAATTATTTAGTAAATAAAGTAAAAATTGAATAGAAGAAATGGACAACCTTTCCTTTATCTTTACTACTGAAAATTAATACAGTAAATATTCATGTGTAACCACAGTTTATTTTTTATTCCTAATGTTACCATGTTATTTGTAGCCACTTTATGTAAACAGTTAAATAGAGACGTGTCAAGGTCCATATGTGGTGATAAGATTCCTAGAATAAGCTTTTCAGCACTTGTAAAACCAGAGTCTATAGGGAGACCAGGATTACTGAGCTCAATATTTTTGGTCGGTCCAAATGCGTCATATAGCAGGTTGTCTTTGGGTAAAAAATCGGATCTCTTGGGTGAGATATCTTTGGAGTCATTATTATCTATCAGTCACTTTAATAAGATACACTGCATTAATTAAGACAATACAATCTTTAATACCTTGCAGTGCTGTGCCAAATTTCTGAAAGTTCAATTTCCCGTTTAAGTTTTAGCATCAATTTATCAAAATCCAAATATAAAAGTTCTTTTTCTCTGAGAGTATCACACATTTGGTCAAATCTGGGGTGGAAAAAAAATGTGTTTTGTCATGAAACTTAAATCATTCCATGATTTAATAACAGAATATAACGTTTCAAATAAAGATTTTCTTAAATAACTTCAGACTTAGGGGTGTGATGAATGCTTTAGTAAAAGAAAAACTGCAGGAGAAGTTATCTGAAGTTGAGAAACAGCTGATAAATGTTGCATCCTTGAAAGATACAACAATTCTACGATCTATTCAGTAAATGTTGTTTCCTCTTTGAGTCTTTGTTGAAAGTTTATGAGAAAGACCCTGATGTAGAATTTAATGAGGACAGTATGGACAAACATTTCTCACAGCGTTTGCTTTCTGTTAATGAGAAATAAAATTTTAAAAAGCCAGTTTTATTTGGCTAAGATAAAGGAGATCATATGGTTTTCTTAAAATGGAAAAATAAATGATCATCATAATGTTGGTTGAATGTAAATAATTAAATATTATTATGCTATTTATATATTTAGGCCTGGGATGGGGGAATGTTAAATGTGGACTATTATAATGTAACCCCCCCCCCACCTTTCCGGATGAAATGGAAAATAGTAAATAAAAAGAAACGACAAACAGCGTGCTTGGTTGAAGTTGCTTTTTTATGCAAATTGTTTGCACTCAGTCTAAAACATAATTCCTCCTGGTGCTTCTTACAAATGTAAGTTTTTTCCACCTCTGAGAAATATAATGAGCACCCATAATTCATTGTGGTTGTCTATTTGCAAGGCACTCCAACTGCGGCTCTGATAAATGCTGGATCAAAGGCTGAGTAATTTAGAGAGGCACTGTTAGGCCCCTTATCGGCCCCTGTAATCTGCATTCTGGAGACAGTGGCTGTACATATGCAAAGCAGCATGTTAATCACTCATAATGAATGTACATATTTATGAGCAGCGCTCTTATAGCGAGTCCTGCCACGTTCCCTCACATCTTGGGGGAGGTGGGCCAGTGGGCAAAGGATGCTGTTGCTGGTAGGACTCTGCTCCTTCAGTCTCATGCCAGCTATGAAACAACAGTGTACAATGGAGGCTGTCACAGCGAAAATGTGGGGGAGCAATGTGGGATTTTGTGTAGTAGAGAGATGTTTTACAAAGACAGAATACACAGTACCTACACATGGAGAGGAAACAAAGTACCTCAGATCATGGTCAAATCTGCATTCCAAGGGATTGACAGGATGAACAACTTACTGGTGATTTTTGCTGTTCTTATTGCTTTGGCAGCAGTGGCAGATGTGGCAGTACTCACTTTATACTTGTGCTGTATTGCTACAAAAATGTTAGGTCCTACCTACTTAAAACTGCCGTTCCAGTATTTTCTAAACGGTGACTTGGGGACTTGTGTACCCATGAGGTCAAAACAACATGTTAAACTATCAGTGTCTGTAGCTTTTGATAGTTTCTTGTGTACCGGGGCACATCTTTGGGTCAGACAACCTCATTCTCGGCATTTCTTCTCCTCTTCAGATTTTATGCTGCTGAAATCTGTATCGCTCTGAACTTTCTGCATGAGAAGGGCATCATCTACCGTGACCTGAAGCTTGACAACGTTCTCTTGGATCACGATGGACACATCAAGATCACAGACTATGGCATGTGCAAGGTAAGAGAGACACTGTTTAATTTTTTTTTTCAGTAGGCTGCATGGACAGCTGCTGTAGGGTTATTAATAATGCAGTAGATCAATATCAACTGGAGGTACTAAACAGGGCCCTTTTTTTTATTGTCACCATTCATGTTCTTGAACATACATCTTCCACAATGCCTCTTTTATCTCTGAAATTACTATTCTCTCTTTTGCACTTTTTCCCTTTCTTGTTCTTCTGCTTCTTCCTCTCAGGAGGGGATCAGACCAGGTGACACCACCAGTACCTTCTGTGGAACACCCAACTACATTGCCCCTGAGATCCTCAGAGGAGAGGACTATGGTGAATACTAATTGAATTTTTATGCCAATAAGGTGAAAGGAATTTTGAGTTTTTTCATGTCACACACACTATATCTGAATGAATATCTTATGTTGTGTTCTCTCCCAGGGTTCAGTGTGGACTGGTGGGCTCTGGGCGTGCTGATGTTTGAAATGATGGCTGGGAGGTCCCCATTTGACATTATCACTGACAATCCTGACATGAACACAGAGGAGTACCTCTTTCAAGGTGAGACAGCAGAATTTGGTAAATACCGTACACAGAGTTTGCTCTAGGGGATTTTGACTTTTTAGTGTACACTGGCAAATGTGGTTTACCAACAAGAATTGTAATTGTTGTCATAAATGTCATAAATACAAAAATGAAGAAAAGTCATCTTTTTCAGACTAATTTAGACTAAAAAGAAAACAAACTGGCTGTGATCTCAAGCTCTAGAGGAACCTCTATATCAGTCCTTCTATTTGCATTTGTTTATCCTCGAGCCATATGGTACCCTTACATAGCACACCCCCTTACCTCATGCTCCCTTTCTCTCTCTCTGCCACCCACGTTATAACAGAAATTCCACCATACTACAGTAGCTTCATGTGACGCATTATGACTGCTGTGACTGTCAGGAGCATAGCGTGGCACCATGGCTAGCATCTGCCACCAGCACAATCCTCCTGGCGCCCTTACCGGTAGAGCCACAGGTTCCTGGATGAACTCCTGCCAACGGAAACCAACCCTTTTGCTTTAGGAGCCACTGAGCCATATGTCACCTAGATACACCCCAGTGCCAGGCCTTGTTCAGGAGTTGGCGCTCCACATGCCAATCGCAGAGCTTTAGACAGACAGACAGACAGAAACTGGCCAATATTTGATTGATTCAGTGGTGGAAACAAGGTTGTATTCTACTTAAAATATACATTTTTAATACATATAAATATAACAAAGCAACTACAGTATCTTAGAATGGCCCTATGTCGACTGAGTAATGGTGTGATGATAAAACAGGTTTAAAATCATCTCTGAGTGTTAAAGCTTCATTCTTGACCTTGGAAACAGTAGCTCTCAACGCCCAATTACTGGCTTTTAAAATAGAGTACCACAAAAAGAAGACAACTTCATTGTTGATCAGAGTAGAAAATTGCCTCTGGCTCAATAAAACACAGAAGCCGTGCAAGAACATGAAGTCACAAATCACTGTTTAGAAAGATGACCCTTGCTTAGCATCCTGTCCGCTGCCGTGCTGTTTCTAAAGCAGTTTAAATAAAAGACAGTGAGCAATAAGCTTGAGTTAAGGATGTGGTCCAGTTCTTCATCATATGTGTAGTTATTGCACTCTGTTGAACATAAAGCTTAAGGTTTGCTTTACCAATTGAACTGGCAAATCCTATTTTACCTAGTTTACCAGCTTATCACAAATGACGTGCTGCAGTCATTATCTAGAGATAGCTATTTTTAATATAGAGCATGTTATCTACATTTTTACATCTACATTGGTCTTCTGATGTTTCTTGGCATCACAGCCACTTTTCATAATTTGAAACTTTAGGTTGTGATGGTGAGTAACCATGTCAGTATGAGAACACACACTGGTCACTTTGCTGTGAGCTGAGATTTTCACTTCAGTGTAAAGCAGTTGTAGATCCTTGAATTTAGGTTTAGAGGGAAAAACTATTTTCAGAGTGTTTTTGTTCTCATTAGTATGACATTGTTGAGCTGTGAGTCTCAAGGCTGTGTGTAGACCACGAAGAGTGAGAGAAATAACAGAATCATGTCCTCTGTATCGCCTCCTTTCCTTTGACTCCCACGTAGCAGACATGGTCACCCACAGGCAGGTTGGACTGTGAATCATCCTCCTCCCTACTCACGATTGTCTTTAACATTCTCTATTCATCTCTCTCCCTCTCTGTTTTTGTCATCCACCTTCTCTTTTTGCCGACAGTTATTCTTGAGAAGCCCATTCGCATCCCAAGGTCTCTGTCGGTGAAAGCTGCCAGCGTGCTCAAGGGCTTTCTAAACAAGGTGAGAGCAGTCCACTCCCAGTCAGCCCTCTCTCTCTCTCTCTTTCTGCTGTGTATCCATGTACTCTGCTGTTCAGTCAAACCACCATGGGTGGGATCACGGCCAAGAACTTGGGCTGTGGTATAGACATCAGGAGAAAGTCTCTTTATTTGGCCCACACTGTCAGACTGTATGTGCTTGTTTCTGCCTTATTATACTTTCATTATCATAGTGAGGCAGTAGAAGTTGATGAAAGTGAGATATAGACCATACTGTAACCGCTGCAACTGCTTTTGAATGTTTCGTGCCTTAAATTATATTGTACACAGGGCTTCTCAAGCTAGGGGTCAGGACCCCACTTTGCATCACCTGATATGCCGATTTGGTCAAGGAACAAGAACAAATAAATTGCTATATTCCAATTGTTGAAGTAAGCACAATCTTGAGACTTAGGAATAAGGAGAAATAATTCAGTTTGTGAAATATGATTATTTCCACTTTTTTTAAAAGTAAGAAAAGAAGATCAATATAAATCTCTGTACACTGGCTGCAAAGCTAGAGGAGGCAGCTAGTGTAGCTTAGTAAAGCATAGAGCCTAATGGTACAAGGAGAAATTTAAAACTTACAAGCTGGTTGATTTTAGGGTGAGCTACATAGGCTAACAGTTTATCCATCCACCTAGTGCTTGGGTGCAGCATCTCGTCTGGTTGCCTGGCTTTAGTAAGTCACTTCACCTGGCTGGTTGATAAAAAATAGTTCTTCCCCTAAAACCACAAACTGTAATGTTTACATTTGTGTGTGTATGAATGTTAAAAAGAAGCTATGTGAGGTTGATTAATGAGCAACATGTGTTTGGGTAAGTTTCCCCCTGCTTCCAGTCTCTGTGCTAAGCTAGGCTAATTAATGTCTTGACTTATCCTCTGTATTGAACACACATCAGAGAGAGCCTTCTGCACGTCTCAGTCCCACAAAGATAGAGAAGATGTAAAAAATATACATGCTGTAGCCAGATTTCTACATGAAGATTGTTGCTTACCAATTTTCCAAACAATACTACACTGACTGGCCACCCTATACAATTGTATGCCCTTCAATGATACTCTTCTGACTTAACATCTGTGATTGTGAAGTCCAAAATGGACTACCTTATATTCAGAGGTGTCTCTGTATTTTTGTCCTCCCCAGCCACATACATGAAACTGAAACATTTGGAGCTTAAAGTGGCCAGTCAGTGTATATTATTTTATATTTTTAAATGTTTTATAAAATTGGATTAATCACAGTTCACTTGCTATTCCTTTGTGTTATAGAGCTCCATTGTTGTCCAAAAACTATAAAAACACATGAGTGAGTCACACTGTGGGACTGGGAGATCTGCCTTCATCACCACAAACTCACACACTGTCATTTCTCTTGAGTAAATCCCACATACACTGTCCTGCTGCCACAAACACTTATTAGAGTACCAAATGTGAACTCATCCGCTGCTGAAAATAGTCCCCAACAAATGCACTATTTCCTCCAGTTTGAGAAACATTTGTGAAGGACTGTTGTGACTGACTGCTTAAGACAGTTATGAAACCCTTTTTAGAACTGTGTATATGTGAGCTGTTTTTAGATTAAGAGTTATGTTTTTAAGAGCCAGTGGGGATCAGGCTGAGTGCCTGACAAATATGGAATATAGTTATTCTGTGGCAAGTTTTAAGTCTCTACAATTTTTAATCTTAAAAAAAAACATTAAAAATTCAGAAAATCATTTTAGTAAAGAGCCAACAGCACAAGCGATGAGTAATAAATGTCCTGCAACACTGGTTGGCCCTTTAAGAAATATATTGGTCTTTTGAAACTAACCGAATTCAGTAATTTAACACACATACACGCATTTCAGGTCCTGGCTTCATTTTTGGCGGGTGGGATGGGGGGTGTAACAGGGTTTTGTGTGTACGTTGTTATACTGTAGCTCTTGTGGTTCTGTTTATGAAACTGCCTCGTAGCTGTTCACATGCACTTTGCCTTTCTAAATCATCACCGTAACAGCTGTCAGGAAAAGGGCACAGGGGGCTGTTTTTTCATATGTACATGCATGATGAAACACGGGGCCAACATCAGTACTATTTGTTCACATAGCAATTGCTTTATTCTGGATAACATCTGAAGTATAATAACACAAACTGTATCTTTGGACATTGTCCCCCTTGGACTTTATTACAGTCGATATCAAATCAGCCATATAATAAGCCTGCATTATCCATATCTAGATGCAAAATTTTAGAGAATAATTTCACATTGCTATGAAATACTGTAGAGTACCTCCTGTTTACATTCCTGACCAGCTGTTTTGGTCCCAACAGGATCCCAAGGAGCGGCTGGGCTGCCAGGTCCAGACAGGCTTCACAGATATCAAGTCACATACGTTTTTCCGCAGCATAGAGTGGGACCAGGTAAGAGCTGACCGAGTGAGGAGAGGGAGAAGATGTCACACTGTGATTCATTCAGTCATTGTTTATTTGGTCCTCCCAGTGTACATTTCCAACAAAACATCATCTTTAAAAACTGTCTAATCTTCTATTACTTGTGGCCTTCTCCAGTGTAGTAAATGGTCAGTTATTACAACAGCTTTTTGATACAAAATATGACTGAGTGAGTGAATATGTGTCTGCTGTCTATATAAAGAACTTAAATAGCACAGACAGCACAGCCTCCTGTTTTGTTCTAAACAAGCATATGAGCCAGGTGGAGTCCTTTGTGGGTGCCTGTGTGTTATGTGTTAAAAAATGAATGACATAGTTGTAGATGTGGTGTGCAGACTACTGCTGTGTGCAGTGGAGTGCAAACCCTCAACCTGTGGAGCATGACGGCAAATGAAAGTGAATTCCTAATCACACACACGTTCACACTAACTGAACCAGCACTAGAGGTGTGTGTTGAGGCTGCAGTTGTGTAATGTGTGGTGTAGGTCTAAAGATTTTTTTTAAATTAACGTGAAAGGATAGAAGCTATGCAATATCAAGGATCGTTACAGCACCGAATTATATGGCAGAAATCTCTATACAGTCAGTTTTCATCGGTAGGGCTGATAAATGTAAGTAAGAGCAATAATTGTTTATTTCAAAATTGAACATACATGTGATCTAAGAAAACGGGTCCATTTTGTCTTCTTCACTTTTTCTTCACAAACTAAATTCACTAAGGATCCAGAGCCGTAGTGTGACTGCTGTACAGACCTTGACCCACACGGGGAAACACTGGTTTGTCTAAAGACTTTTTAATCTCAGTGAGGGTCAGGGTATTTGTATAGGTCTGCTTTCAGGTGAACATCCTCTGTTGTGTAACATTGCTTACTCTGTATTATGCTGTTTTAACTGTCACATTTGCTTAACCACCTTTCACCATAGTCATGGACTGCTGTCTTTTTGAAAGCAGTGTTTTAGCCTCAAACTAAACATAAATATTTTCTGCATCTTCATTTTTGTCAGTACAGCTGCTTAAAACTACTCTTAAATTTTTTCACCCTATAGGGTCAAAACAAACTGACACCAAAATCCACTCCTTACCACTCCCCTTCTGTCCTGTTTCCTAAAACTACTATGTAAACTACAGACGGCTGGCTGGGACAAACTGTACAAAATGCAGCCTCCAGTCTGAAGCTAGCATTAGCTGGCTACCAAATAAATGTGTCAACTTTGCACAAAGCTCAAATTTCTCCCAAATTAAAATCATATTATTTCAATACAAAGGTAAAATCATGACCATGCTAGGTCGCTAATGTTACCAAAACAAACACGTTAGCTTTAGATGCTAACACGTCCAGAAGGAAGAATGCCACATCTGAATCCAAGCCGAGTCCTTTGGCTGCTTTTAACTGTCTCCATGTCAAAAAGCCAAACTGATGTTAGCCCTGGTTTTTGCTCTTTCTTTGTCCCTTTCTCTCTGTGCAAAAAACACCACCTCTTCACTCTGGCAGCCACTGTTTTAGACTTTTAGCTGTGAGAGCTCCTCTATGGCTGGCTGCTGGAAATGATGACGCATGGTTTGAAAAACTCGTCTTATTACCTTGGCTAGGTGGCAGGCGGAGCTGATTTACAGAATGTACCTTGACAACACAGGGTACAGAAGCTGGAATAACAACAGAAAGGTTGTAGGCAGCAGTGTCCCATCGTCACTGGAGTTATCAGACAGTGTGGATGATCTTAGATAATGCACCTTTAAAGTTCTCAAATTGACAGAAGTCCCCTAATATGATGACCAATAACTGCTACATTTATTATGTTTTGTCTTCTTATTTCTGACAGCATGTCAGTGTCCATGATGTGAAATTTTAGGGCCATCAGTTGTGTTAATAGTTTATTGTCATGAAGGCTCACTAATGAACATGAGGCATCAGCATGTTAAACAAGCAATTTATGTTTAATGCCTACTCTATCAGACTTCAGTGCAAATGGTACTTTAAGATGAAGTAAGTCTATTTCTCTATTGTCATTGCTGCCGTATCCTTCAGGGGAGAATTAAAAGGAAAAAAACTATTGTGATTGTGTTAAGGAGTGCTGCCACAGTGTCTGTGAAGTACACAACAAAGGCAAACTAGGGAAAGCAAGTGGAGAAAGACAGCAACAAAGCTGGTTCCCATGTGAGCAGGGGGTAAACAAGCTGACAAAGCCGAGTGAGGTGGAGAAGCAACACTCCCTGCCCTCAAACTAGAAACCTGTCTCCAGACCTGACAAGCTTGGTGCACCGCTACTGCTGTTACCGCGTATTAATATTCATCAGACAGCTCCTGAGGGAGCGCTGTTTTCTCTCTGACGAGATGACACGTTTGATTATCATTTACCTGCCACCCACTTTTATTCCCTTTGCAAACGCACGTCTTTACTGCCAGAGAATTATTGGGTTGATATATGCTGAGAAGAAAGTGATTATTTGGACGTGGGTAGGACTACATGCTGTGATTGCATCTGTGTCTTACCCATGAACCAAAACATAGAGCCCAGACAGTAAGTATTTGGACAGTTACACATTTTTTGCTCTCCAGGCTTGAAATAAAATACTGGCTACTAGTGTCAGCTTCAATCTAAGCAGGTTTATGTCAATATAGAAAGAACTGTGTGGGGGCTGTATTTTCATGGCAGCACAGCAACCAGCACAAGCAGCGTTTTGGCAGTTTGGTCATTCACTGCCCTTCACACAAAGTGTCTGGTGTTGTTTAATGGTTGAAGACTGCAGGCAATCAGTGACTGCAGAGGGTTTTCCACAAAATATGAATGATGATTTGGTTTGATGTAAACCCATTGAAATTGGAGACTGAGCACTTTAATGCAGTATCCATTCTTTTATTTCATGTGCACAGAGCCTGAAAAACAAAAATGTGTAACTGTTCCAATACTTACAGTCTGGACTTTAACTTGATGTTTGGTTGCATATTAACACCAAGAAGACAATGGTTGGACACATACTTAAAAAGTAAAATTAAATCATCTTTCTCCTGTAGTGTAGCTGACAGGCAGAATTTTGAGTTTGCAGTCAAAAAGAACATTATCATTTGGCTTTGATAGCCAGTGTTCACTGCTTGTTGGGAGAACTCAAATGTTTTTCACAGTCTGGTTTACCACCGCAGCACATTGGCCTGTAATGTGCCAACAGCGTCATGGAACTGGTGTGAGTCAGTGCTTTACTTGCAATATAAAAACTAACCCCTTAATCTTTTCTGGTTGTTCACTCATCCATTCCATATTTGTTGGACCAGTTTGTATCTCTGAAGACTGAAATTCACTTTTGAGTGTATATAAGTGGCACAAAATATTTTGCAGTGCACTTGCATTGTCTGCAAAAGAACAGACTGCCTGAGTTCTCCTCTACTACACCTCCAACAGTCACTGGAATCAGAGCAGACGTGATAGAGCTTGTCCAGTGGACATAAGGCATTAAGACATGCAACTGACATCTTGTTTAAAATTCCCTCATGGAGTGGAGTATTAAAAAAGCTCTGTGCTTCTGCTTCCACTGGGATCACCACAAGTGGCTCTCACCCGGCTGTCGCTCCCCCTCTATCAGAGGATATTTGTATAAAGTTGAGCCCTTCTCATCTCTCCCCTGTAGTGTAGCTGGGTGCTCAACAGGGGGCACAGGGCAGCAAAGCCTGGTCACATGTTGCTGACCCAGCATTTTGAATTTATATGTGTGATCAGCTCATTTGTTTCAAGTAGCAGTCATCGTCCTGGTAGGTATGTGTACGTTTATTGTGTTTCGTTGCCAGTGCATGTAATCATACCTACTGGGTGTGTGTGTGTGTGTGTGTGTGTGTGTGTGTGTGCGTGTGTGTGTGAGACAAAAGAGGTTTCTTGCTGAACTGTTAGCTTGTTTACAACCTCTCTGTTGGACCGCTCATGTTTCTTGCCCCACCTGAGTTTGTTGTCAGAGATCACCATGTTCCCAGTTCTCAGCAATCACTTGAGGTAACAGAAAAGAAAAATAAACATCAAGCTCGTTCATAAAGCACCAGGTTTTCTTTCCAAATGTATCCCTGAAGCTCCCTAGTTTGCTGTCCAGCAGCAGATCTGTAGAAGCAGCAAGGCATGTTTCAGTTTCAAAATTCAAAACATCACTGAAGTTCTTGGCCTGTCTGATGTTAATCTGCTTGTTCTACAGTGCACAGAGGATGGAAAGATGAAGCAGCACCACATAGTGTGTGATTTGGTTGTGTGGTTTATATGTGACATGCAGTTTTACATCTGTTGACTGTAGTTAGTGTCCAGTTGCATTAATGGCTGCCTCAGATCAGGTTTATTGTCACATTGTCCAGTCCTGGC